ATAGGAGCCCTTTGAAATATTTACGCTTTTTGGTTTGAAAATGGTTTGTTTGAAAAGAGATTGGGGAGATGAGAAGAGAATTATTTTTTAGATTTTTGTGTTTGGAGAGACTTATCGCCTCATGCCTACGTACCCACAAAGTGCAATATGGGATCAAAACCCCGTAGTTCGTGGTACAAATGACAAAAATTTGTTGGTTTTGATTGATTTTAGATGTAAAGACAAGTTGTCATTTCAAGGAGAAAACTGCGACTATCCACCCACGAGTATTAAGACAACATCTGCTTCACATAAAGATGGAGGATTTGCTTGGATTATCAACAAGACTATCACTCAACATCAACGTGGAAAATGCCAAAGTCTTAATAATATGGGGAATAGGAGATTTACATCTCAACTATAGAAATGAATCATGTCTAAACTTTATGAAAAGTTTTAAAGTGAAAAAGTGCATAAAGGCACAAAAAGAGTTGATGAGTTTTTGTATTTTTTATGTCTTTTGAAATTGGTCAAAGCATGATTAACATTGATTGACTTTTATTAAGAAAAAACAAAGTTTAAAATCCACTTGACGAAAGTCAAGGTTTTATTGCGAAAGCGGTTTTGAAGTTTGAAACCAAGAAGGTTTTGAAAGAGGGAGAAAGTTTTGAAAATTTAAGAAGGGGAGGAGATGAAGTGACTATCCTAGAAAACCAAAATAAGAGCTAGAGGTAAGAAAGATCTAACCGACTTGTAGCATACTCCATAGCAAGCAAAAAATAATTCCATCCGATTTAAAGCATAAGCTAATGAGCGAGCCAAATAGAGGCTAAGATCCACAATACTCCAAGCATAGGAATAAGAGTCCTAATTCTAAGTCCAAAGGTCCATGAAGTCCAAGGTCTAAGAGTAATCCAAGAGCATAACCACAAAGTTAACAACACCAAGTTTTTTAGAGATTTTTTATCCTTTTTAGTGTTTTGAACAAGATATGGTCCAAGTGGACAAAAGAGAAATGACATAAACATAAACAAAGATATGATATGAAATGATAATATGGAAGCATAAAAGTAAGAAATAAGGAGTAAGAAGAGAATATAAACAAAATTAAACAAAGATAATGTTAGTGAATTAGTAATTAGTGGTTAGAACATATGATCAATGATAATTAATTCTTGCACTTTAGACCAAGGTTAATGAAAACTCATTAGAGGATTGATAGAATCAAAGCCTCCTAACAATGATTTTCATAGGTATTGGACTTAAGGCAAACAACTAAACATACTTGGACTTTTAAACGTAAGTTTGAGTCACGAATGATCATTTTCCGATTAAGGGACACTTTAGCGCTATGTTAAGCAATCATAATCGGGTTTATGTAGAAACCACGACTATCTGAGGCCGGTCAATAAAATGTTAGTGTTAATACATGTTAGAGAAGTGATATGTAAATCACTCTCCTAAAACATGCCACACAAAAAGAAAAGAGGTAGTGATCTCATCATAATCAAGATTTTTCATCAATTAATCAAAGGTAATCTATCACTATTCCAAAGTACGGAGAATTATCTCAATGATTATTCGTCCATAGATTTGAAATAATGAAGATTAAACCACCTTGATAATCAACAATCTATGATCCAAAGATTTCATCGATCAAAAATAAAAAGAAGAAGAAAGAGAATTAAAAAGAAAAGAAACCACAATTTGAATCTTATATCGATTAAATCATCATCAATATCAATCACTTCTTTTAGTGGATAAAATCGACACTCAAAGTCCATTGATATTGATGAGATCTTATCAAAATTCAAGATCCAAAACAAAATCTATTTAAAAAAATATTATTTCAAAAAGAAAACAAATATTAAAAAAAAAACATTGAAGAAAATCTTTTAAAAAATGAGAGGGAGATTTATTAAACTAAACATGGGGGTGATGATGGTAAAAGGCCACACGGCCCAAATCCAAAGATAAATTAACATAAAAAGGTAAAAATAAAAAAAAAAATTAAGAAGAAAAAAATAAAAGGAAAAAATAAATCAGAAAAAGAAAATCATCCTCTTCTTCTTTCATCCGACGCGACACTATGCATCATCTCTCGGTAGATCTCACAAGAAAAAAACAATTTCACCGCCGTTTCTATCTTCTTCTATCAATCTTACACCGTTTACGAATACTCCCTCTCTCACTCTCATTTTCATAAAAACTTCTCCAGTAAAATAATTCAAAAATTGGATCGAAGTTGATGATGAACCAGAAATCAGGTTCGAATAATCAATTCTTACACTCTCTGTTTCTTCTTCTTTGCAAATTATGCTCGAGTTGTTGTTGTTTGTTGATGTTGATGAAGAGTTGCCCCGATTTACATTGAGAGATGCGAAATTGAATGTCGGTTTGATTTTTGCAGAGTGAGGAGGGGATGTTCAAGCTTGAAGATGAGTGTTGGTGAGTTTTCAGCAGAGGTTTTCTGGCTTTTTAAGCTTGAAGAAATGAAAGAGGTATGTGTTCTATTTATAGATGGAGGAGAATGAAAATGTTTTGCCGTTTGGGTATTTTTCTGTGCGTTTTGGTTGCTCAAGTTATGCGTGACCTGTGGTTGTATTTTTTTTCACGTTGTTTTGATTTTTCTCTTTCAGCTCACGTGTTATTCTTTCTTTCTGATTGCAGCTCAAATTCAAATTGTGACGTGGATTATTTTCTTTTTTTCAACACGTGACTTGAAGGCTTGGCTTGAACTTCATGATTCTTATTCTCTGTTAGTCTCGATATTTCAAATAAATAATCTGCAATATTTTCTTCCACCAAGATTTGAATCTGATCGCCTGAAGTCCCAACTGAAGACAAATAATGAAAGAGCAGATCTAGAGTGCCGATTTGAACTTGACTCTCTGATGAAAGTAATGGGCCTTTGATTGCTTCAGCAAACAGATTAACCAGAGATGCTCCCTTGGTTCTATCTTCAGTTTCTTCTTCTTCACTAACCACTTGGTATGGTGTCGTTCTTCCATTTTGTTCATAAGACTGGTTACAAATGAAGACTTCCTGATCTTGTCATCTGGAAATTCTTCAAACAGTTGCAGAACAACAATATATCTTTCTACAGCCAATGGATCAGAAGAAATATACGACTTATTGTCCTGAGTATACTTGGATACTTTTTATAACATCTGGAAATCAAAGCCGTGATACATGGCTTTGCTCCTTCAACAAAGTGATAATACTTATAGCAATTCTTGCAGTTTTCAGTATTGTGTCATACCAAGGAGTGTACTGCTTTGATGGTTTCACTTGTGTGTTTGCAAAGTGTGCTTGTTTCTTGCTCGTGTTGCTGCCGACGATGCTGTTCTGGTAGTTGGCATGACTGTTGAGATAGGTTTGGTTGTAACGAAGATTGTTGTTTAAGAGACAACGGCCGATGATGATGCCACTGTGACCCGGAATTTGAGCAGCTGAGTAGTTGGTGTAAAGACACCTGATTAAAGCCAGATGGATTAGAATATACAACAAAAGTATTCAAAATATTTTGAAGCTTATCAAACTTGAGAATATCGCAAGGAAGAGACTTCACCAATTGACTGTGAGTAGCATTTCCAATGGACAACTTATAAATTAGTTCTCTTTTCACACTTTCAGCAGCAGTTAGCCCACAGAAGCACCATCATGGATGTATCACTTGCATTTGACACCATTCCCTGGCTAATAGTTTTATGTGCTTGCTTACAAGCCAGCTTGAATTCTTCTGGTATTGTCCTTCCTATCACGTGTGCAAATGAAGTGGATAACAATAATAATCTCAGGTGTGTTTGGTTGATCAGTTTTGCATGGAACTATCTTCTAGAAGCAGCTTCTCAATTACAATTTCAACTGAATTCTCCAATAGATCTTTCTGGTTTTTTTGAGGATTTCTACTATCAATGAAAGAGCAAGCTCTCTGACTGAGGAATTTGAATCATCCAGTGCCTTAAGCATAACTGTCAAAATCTGATTGAAGTACTTGGTCCAAACAGACTGATCATTTGTTGTAGAAGCTTCTAATAACTTGTTGAAGTGCAGTATGTTTACTTGAAACAGGGCTTCTATCATTAGCATTGCATATCATATGAAGAATTTGAGGAATGCTGGGCTCAGTGTCTGTCATCTTGATCTGCTAGCGAAGGCTGCATCGAGTCCACATATGATGTACACTAATCTACTGGTGAAACAAAAGGATGAAACCACACAAATGCTTTTTCATAGAAGAAAGTTTAGAAGCAAAACTCCCAGCTATAGAGAGAGCCAAATCATATTTACTGTATTTCCATAACAAGAAAGCATACACTTGCAAACCTTCTTCATCAAGTGGCCCTTCTTTCTTCAAATTTTTACATTCCTGCAAAGCATCAGCAGCATTCCCTACCTTGGAAAGTGATCTATCCAAATTGATAGAAATATCCATGATACATGCGTTTTGATTACTCTCTGAGCCAATGCTAACTGCATGGCGTGCTAATGTATAAAATGTAGCAGCAGACTTGTAATCCTTTTCAGCCTTACATACCAGTCCATGTAAGTTATGGGATTCATGATGGTGAGGGGACAACTGCAGATTTAATTCAAAGATGCTATTTCCAAAGTGGAGCAATGAATGTTGTTCCCATGTTTTACAATTTGAATGAACTTGCCTGGAAGCTTTTCTTGAAAGAACCCAACATCTGTGAGTTTGAAGTTGGCCTGTTGGACCCAAATTTTGTGACAAATCGATTGGCATATGTTCTCATCCTCTGTGGTGGTAAGGGTCTGCAAGTTGGTTTTTCTTGGATGAATAACAGTGGTGAACACGGACTCTGTGATTTCTTGTTTGGATATTGTAATTCCCATGCACCTTAACAATTAAAATTGCTTCCTTGTCTCTTGAATCTTCACACCAAGAGTTTTGTACAACACCATCGACAAACTCTTCCTGAGTCTGAAATTCCTCGTGATGCACTGATACCTCAACAATCTGATCTGGTTTTATAATACCTGTTGCAGGACTTACCTCAAGCTACCTCGTCATCAACAAAGGATACTAGAGAAGGATTGTCATTAGTGACAGATGCAACTATGCCAGTATGGGGTTCCTCTCCATCAACATCAAAAACAGTAAACTCAGGCCCAAAGTCACAGAAGACAGAACCAAAAAGGCCTCTAACTTCAGTTTTAATAAAAGCAATAGGAGGTTGATGATTGTGACAGTAATCATTGAACTCAATGGCTTTCTCAAGACTAACATCAGTAAAAACAACAGCTTGGAAATCAACAAGTTGGTGTTTTGTCAGCGCTGAAGTCAAGCTTTGCACAACCACTGCATTGTTCAACTCTTGCAACTTACCAACAGAAGCCAATGCTCTGTTTTTGCCAAGATCCTTCTCCGAAAACACAAAACTGCTAGACAGATTCCATAGCTCAACAGTTCCCACATCATGTAAGGTAACAAACTTGACACCAGCAAGAATGAGATTCTTTGCAATCTCAGCGCCAAGACCCTGCATCCAAAACACAAGAACACTAGCCCCAAAGAGCCTACGCACGGTCTCTCGACCATACACAGCAAGTTGCCGGCTATAAAGGTCTTCATAAATATCCGACGGATTGGCATCTCCCAAAGTCATGACGTAGGTTCCTTGTTCAAGAGTCGTCTCGCTATTGCTGTTGTTATTACTACTACTGCTTAGACTCTGGTCGCTATTCACAACCGAACCCTCAGTTCCAACTGTGACAATCAGATTCTTCTTCTTTGGAAAACTATCAGTAGCTGCCTCTTCCTTAACCACTCCTTCGCAGTGTCTCTTTCTAGGAAGCATATAGTGCAGTAAGCTGCGATTGGAACTTCTAGGAGAAGTAAAGAAACGGAGAATGGAATCGTTTGTGTTTCGCGACTGCAATGTGCGATTAGCGTTGGAGTGTTCTCACTTTCTTGGAGATTTTTGGTTTTATACTAGAAATGAGAAATGCGAGATTAAAGAAAAGTTTGATTTATGGGGAGAGAGAGAGCGTTGTCGCAAAGGTGACTGCCCAGAAGTGGTTTCAGATCCCACAAAATGAAATTGTGGTCCTCCAATTCTTGCATTGGGCAGGAAAGCACTATTCCCCATCCTGGCAGCAGAAGAATTTGCATTGCCTAGTAAGGAACCAGACATTGACATGCACCTGTTCGAGTAATTCACCAACATTAGTTCGATAGTGTAGTTCCAGAATTGAAGACTTGTTCTCCTCAAAAACTTCATTAACAGCATGCTTGATATCTTCTGTTGAAACCTCAACACCAACACCACATGCTTCTTCGAATTTATTCAAATCAAGGTTCTCAATTCCGGTAGTAGCAAGAAAAGATAGTGCCACATCTAACTGTGCCGTTGTTTTCACCTTGGACGAAACTACATATTGCAGTAATGTTTTCAATAGCATTTGCATCAGGTTCTTCCTCAATATCAGCAACGACAAGTACTCTTGGAGGATTCTCACTCGGTAACTTGATTAACACAGAAACTGCAGCATGTTGCTCTGTTTTTGAACCAGTTTAAGAGCTTTTGCTAGAAATTCCAAAGGAATAAGTGGGTTTTGTAGTGATGTTATTGATTTGTTGAATTAAGAAACCAATGCTTGTAATTCTGAAATGTGGTGAGATGGCTCGGAAAATAATAGTAATAGGAAGCATCAGTTCGGACAAGTTGGAAAGTTTCACATGTGATGCCTTGGAGGAAAGCTTCATGTAGATAACATCTTTTATGAGATCATCCCTTGGTTTCCATGCCTTGGAAATTACTTGATGACAAAGGCCTGACATGTGAGACTTGGAGAATGATAGCATAAGCTTGGTAGTGAAGCAAGGCATGAGATTGGCATGAAGAAACATGGGCGTATCTTGAATTTGGATTTTATTTTTGGCAAATGGACTTTGTAATTTGTAAATTTTTTTTGTGTAAAATTTGTGATTTGGACAATGATTATTGAAAATGGATATGGAAATGAATAGAAAATGTGAATGAAGAAAGAATGGATCTTGAAAGCATGCCTTGAATATCAAGTAAACTATGAACCATGAATCTTCCAACTTGAACCAAATCTAGAATGACACCCGTTCTTGAGAATTTGATGCCATGATGAACTCAAAGATCAATGCCTTCAATCACGCTTTAAAATCACTTGGAAATGACGCACTTGAATGAACACTTTGGACTTGCATCCCAAAACAAACATCTTGATTGAACATCCACCAAACTTGACTTGTACAGACAAAACTCTGAATCTTCGATTAAAACTGGAATAAAACTTCTCATAAAACACTGCTCGACAAACTGATGATTCTTCATAAGACCACTTGACCTTGAACAATCATTTCTTGAGAAAATAGACCACTGATACATAACTTGCAAATGAAGTAATCCCTTGATAGTTTGACCAAGATGAGGTCAAACTTCCATCTGATTTAGACTCGAATGAATGTCCTTGCCATCAATCCCTTTTGCAAAATCCTAAACACACAGAGAAGAAGAAACAGACAAATTGAAAAATATTTTTGGTATTTTGGTTAGATGTTAGTAAACATAAACAACAAAAAGAAAGTAAGAAACCCATAAGGGTGCGAAAGCCAAAAGTATGACCTTGTTTGTGGAATGATATGCAAATGAAATGTGGGATCTTAGGGGTAAAAATTAGGGTATTACAGCAGGTTTTAATGTTGACATTCTAATGAGTGATTCATTCACTATATGTCACAATTTGTTTTTCCAGTGAATAGACTTGGATTTCAAAACGTCATATGCATCGCCATTAATATATCTTTTGTGCAGAACAATTTGTTTTACTTGTGAGTAAGCACTTGACATCAGGAAAGTGTCCATAGTGGAAAGTTTTGATCAAGATAAGATGCAGAGTGTTTATGCACTCCGTTGAACCAGGCCCAGCTATATCAAATGATCATATCATGGGAGTCAGTCATTTGAAAGTCAGTTAACCTGGGGCAACCAGGTCGAGATTTGGTAAATCTCTCGCAGTCGGTGGATAATACTTCACCAGTCATCCAATCAGGGGCAAAGTCATTGCAAGTTTGGGGCAGATTACCCTAAGAGTACAAAAGCTATTCCAGAAGGTAGTTAATATGAAGCACCTCTTCGAGGTTCAAAATGCTAAGGCAGTTCATACCAAACCGGCAGGGTACAGAAAGTTCAAGTTTCCTTTCGAGGAAGATGTTGCAGAGATCCCACGGGCTGGGGAAAAATGGGAAATGAAGGAATTGTTCCTCCTCTATCTTCAGAGCTTATCAGTATCATTCAACCAAGGACGAGTCCTTTCATGTTTCAAATTCAGGGACAAGCCATCTCGAGGTCGTTTCATGGCAAGCTTTTCTTTTCGTCCTAGAGATTCGACTAGGGCAAATTGAACTACACTGGGGCAGTTACTCAAGCAAGGTTATTCTCCCTAACCAGAGTCCATTCCTCATCTCCCCAAGCAGAGGTTGATGTCGATTGTAACACCCCCTTCTATACCCCCAAATAAATGCATATACAAATTTATCAGAGTGAAAATTTTAGAATAAGGTATAAAGGAAGAATGTCACAATTTCACCAATGAAACACTTTAACATTTGCTCCATAAAATATGTAACATTTTCATGGTTTTAGAAATCACATTTCAACATTAAAATTTAAGCGGAAGATAAAATCATTTAATCATTTCCAAAATATTAATTCACATACACATAAGACATCCAGATTAATACATCATGTCAGGTAATTACAAAGCCACATCAGCTGATACATCGCAATGTATCACAAAAGAATACTATACCAGCCTAACTACCCGGTGTTACATAATCAGAGCAGTCCGACTCAAAAGAATGAAGCTATACTTCACAAAAGAAAGACTCCAGCATCCTAATCTGCAATGCCTCGTAGAGCATTATAAAACAGCAGAAGGGTGAGAAATATAACCATAATAATCAAAGCATAAGATTATATATATATATATATATATATATATATATATATATATATATATATATATATATATATATATATATATATATATATATATATATATATATATATATATATATATATATATATATATATATATATAGGTAATCATATAATTCAACTCCATATTTCTCACCACAATTCGCCCTCTTAGTCATATATATTTACCACACATATATAGACAACATGAATATTCACAAAGCATTCCCACATCATGCATACACTCACATTTCCACAATCTTATCATTCACACATAAGCATCTCTTCATGCATATGTCATATATCAATGTGACTCAACAACTCAATGCAACTCATGCAATGCGGTACCGACTCTCGTTATCATTTTTCGGTTTTTACATTAAACCGGGTCCACTCTTCTAGACCGATAACCCGTTATCATTTTTCGGTTTTTACATTAAACCGGGTCCACTCTTCTAGACCGATAACAACAAAGACCCGTCCTCTAAGCCTTCAAACCCACTCTTCTAGGTTAGGGACAAGCCACTAGTTTCCACGAAACTAACAGACATTGCCTCTTGACTAAATTATGCATATGCAATCAACCACAACAATGCACTTAAGATCGTTCTCACATCTTAATCTCATGCATTTAATAATTCATCTCTTCAAGAATTACACAATGATTGCACATACAACATATATCACAATAATCAAGGTATTCACATCACAATACCAATCATACAATTACAAGTTATGCACACATATTCACAATGTTCTCATGCATACTCATCACATGATTGTATACACATCAAGCATTCACAAGTTCATTAAATAATACACACATAATCACCTATTATGTTCACATGTATTTATACTTGATGCAATTAACATTCAAATTACAATTCTAGGATTCACGCCCGTAGGCTACTTACAGCACATATCATGACAATAGATCACATACATACTCAAAATGTAGAGGTATTAGTCTATGTGAAACAACTAAATCGTCAACACATAGAAACCACAACAAAGAAAAGATGTTGTCAAATTCGCCCATATTCGCCTGGCGAGGCCTCGCAGCGAACCTTCGCTGGACCTTCGCCTGGCGAACCCTCTCAGCGAACACTCGTTAGGCCTTCGCCTGGCGAGACTCCCCAGCGAGCCAAAGTCAATAGCTACTGACTTTGTTCGCCACCATTCGCCAGCACTTTCGCTAGGCGAACATTCGCTAACCAACCTTCGCCTGTCGAACTCGTCAGCGAAGTCCACTAGGACTTAATCATAATTATTCGCCAGCGTTCGCTAGGCTTCACCCGGTGAAGCTTCGCCTTAGCTCGCCTGGCGAGAACCAGCGAACCTGCATAGAACAGAATTTTGTTCTGTCTTCTCCTTCTCAAACCCACCACCAACCAACTCCCAAACATCAAAACCAGCTCAAACAACATCAATACATGTTACCCGACTATTCTACGGCATTATTACTCAGTTCCAACCGATTAAATCACAGGTCTACCGATTATTCCAACTTTTGCCCTAAATGAAAAAGGATGGAAACTACACCAAAACCCCAACCCAACATATATAACATCATGCAATGATCAAATAGAAACATTTCTCACCCTTACCTCGATTAATCGGAGCTTTGATGTTGGTTCTTGATGATTTTCCACTTTCTTCTTCTCCTCTCTTTCTCTTCTTCTTCCCTCTTTCTCTTCTTCTTTCTTTCCAAATTTTTCTCTCCAACTTTCTTTTCTTTTCCTTCTCTATTATATATTTCATTTATTTTCCTTCCTTCCAATTTCCTTCTCAATTCTCTATTAATTCCAATTAATAAAAATTAATTTCTAACATTAATAAAAATCCCA